GTCGCACCATGTACTCAACTCAGTAGCTGCAGCCTTAGCAAATCCAACAGAATACACACGCATTAAATGCATAAGGCAACAGTCAGAAATACCAACAAACAGCCAAATACAGTTAGTTCATCGTCTAAGAAGGCACAACAGATTAGTAATTGCACACGCAATGAATCGCACAAGGCACTACAAGTTCTCCAGCAACAGGAAACTCGCCATTCTCTTAATCTGCGGTTCACAACACAAACCACGTTGATGACAATCAAAAATCATTCAAAATGAAATCCGGAGCTCACAGTGTCGCGCCATGCACTTAAAAAAGTAACTGGGCCAACGAAATAAATCCTTAAAGTCTACATATAAAGGGAAATGCAACGGCTAACTCTTGTAGAAAAAAAAATTGCTACGAATGAAAACAGTAAAAACCCTATCCGCCATATTATGGACTTACAGTTCATAGAAAAAGAGAGACAGGAAAGAAGACATTCGTCACTGAACTACACAATTGAATGTATATCACTACAAGGTGGGATTGGAAAGTAGGACAAAGCTTTCATAATGTACACAATTTAAACACGTAATACACATTTTCTGAAAGCTTTGGATGTGCCATTATTTTTCAACGTAGTGAATACTACTTTCCACGTACACACAGGCCAGCATCGAATACGATTTCGAAAAACTACGAGGGGAAAAAATTATCAGCTGCCGCATCCTCGTTAGAAGCATATATGTTTCCATTAAGATGTCCCTTGAGCTCTGGGATCAAGAAAAGTCACAAGGTGCCAGATCGGCACTAAATGCTGAGAATGCGCCGAAATGTCGCTAAAGTTGGGACTCGTATGCGGGGTCGCTACGGACAAGATTTGTGCGTGTTCGTCCTAGAAAATATATAATTCTTCAAAACGACAATGCTTGTCTACACACGAGTAGATAAACAACAGCAGCATTTGAGCGTCACAACTTTGGCGACATTTTGTTTTATCCATCATTTTGTCCAGACTGGTTCCTTGTGACTTTTCTTGTTTCTAAAGCTGAAGAAGGACCTCAACGGAAACATATATGCTTCTGACGACGATGTGGCAGCTCATGTGCGTTCCTGGATTCGTGAAAAATTGTCCAATTTGTCTCTTGACAGGTTCTAAAAATTCGTATTACAGAGGGGGTGGGGGGGGGGGGTGTGTGGGGGTGGTTGTGTGTGTGTGTGTGTGTGTGTGTGTGTGTGTGTGTGTGTGTGTGTGCTGGAGATTCCGGGTTAAATCTCCAGTAAGGGCTGGGATTTTTTCACGTGGACTTGAACTTCTAGTAATTCCCCCTGGTCTCTGGGTAGTGAGATCGGACGCCCGTGTGTATTCTTGTGCACGTAAAAAATCCCTTGGCAGCTGGAAATCGAAAAGAGTAGACTAACGCTGCTGCCCGGGCAAAATTTGGGTTTAATAATCTACCCAAAGTATTTCAGGAATCTCGCCGGTGCCATAGCGCCTGTGCACTGTGCTGAGCTTCTTCGGACTTGAGTTAGAAGAAGAACGGAGAACATATGGGTTACCACCCGTGTGCCACGATGTTGATCCGTTGTTTAAACTTCAAAGCGTGTGTGTGTGTGTGTGTGCGTGCGTGCACGTAGCAGAGACTACATTGAAAAATAATGGTATTTTACTTAAAAGACACCCCTTGCTTTGGGAGAAAGGTGTGGTGGGGGGAGGGGGGGGGGGGAGGGCCGGGGCAATATATATTTCGTGTGTACATTATCAATATTACACAAAGTTTTGTCCTTGGAGGAAGCAACACTCTTGCAACTGCCCTGGTAGTTTTAGTCTCCTAGTAAGTAGTATCAACTGTTCATATTTCTCTGGAAGCTGGGGCGCATAAATACAAAAACACCGGGATTTGGGGCGCTCAGCCCCGTTATAAATTCTGAAGGGGTTTTGGCCTCAACCGGGCGTAAGCCTTGTTCAAACGTGTAAATGTAATACTATTAGTACAATCATTGTCAGCTGAAAGACAGCTTGAAAAAAGAATGTATTTAAAATATGAAAAGTAATAAACATACTTATAAGAGAACTACGCATGGAAGGCGGTAGGTCGGGGTGGGGGTGGGGGTGGGGGGGGGGGGAGGGCTAGCCTCTTCACGTATATTCTAGCATCAGAAGGAATGCCAGGATGCCTGAGTTATCGGAAGCGCATATTAAGTTACAGCTAAGCCAGGATTCAACACAGTGCATACATGCTGATGGGGTGAGGCTTTAGGCTAGTCAAGTTTTCTCTATGTGCTTTATCCATCTTGTTGTCAAAAGTCTCTCCAACAAAACGCCCACGTGAAAAAATATACAGACAGAGACATGGAAATGATTTTCTAGAATTTTCCAGATCGTATATAGCAAAAATTATTATTGCACAAAATAATTCGGATACAGATTTAAAAAAAAAAAAAAATGCCAGCAATAATGTAATGTATGTAACTCAGCAGTTCGATAAACTGAATATTCTGAGGTTGGATCGTGTCTCCGTGATTGTTGGATGTCTCAAGATCACATTAAACTGATGTTGCATTTGATGATATGAATAAAGTGCTTTTAACGGCCGGTTTGTATATCCTATTATGACGTTATTTCTTATCAATAAAATTCGCTCCACATGCGGTAAACCCGAGCTGAAGATGGGATGGGCAGGTTTGAGTGTCGCAGTAAGGGAGCTATGTCAGAGGTAGTGAGGTTTTTTACAATGTTGCGCAATTTAGGAGTCTTTCTTTCTTTCTTTCTTTCTTCCACTTTTTACTTTATTTCTTTCACTTTTTCCTATACTCCTTCTTAATTTCACCCCTCCCTCCTAATTACTTGTTTCTTTTCATTGCTTTTTCTTCTTCTTCTGTTTCTTACTTCTCCTCTTCTTCTTCCTCTTCTTCTTTATTGTAATGTCTTCTTCTTCTTCTTCTTCTTCTTCTTCTTCTTCTTCGTCTTCTTCCTCTTCTTCTTCTTCTTTTTCATCTTTTTCTTCTTCTAGTACTACTTCTTGTTCATGTTTTTGTTATTGTTCTTCTTCTTCTTCGTCTTATTCTTCTTCTCCTCCTCCTCTTTCTTCTTCTTCTTCTTCTTTATTTTAGTGTCTTCTTCTTTCTTCTTCTTCTTCTCCCCCTTCTTCTTCTTCTTCTTCTTCTTCTCTCCACTCTTCTTCTTCTTCTTCTTCTCCTCCTCCTTCTTCTTCTTTTTCTTCTTCTACTACTACTTATTGTTCATGTTTTTGTAACTGTTCTTCTTCTTCTTCGTCTTATTTTTCTTCTCCTCCTCCTCTTTCTTCTTCTTCTTCTTCCTTCTTCTTCTTCATCTTTGTGTTTTTCCTCTTCTTCTTAAGCTTTCACGCTTGAAAGAGCGATTATATTTGTGTCGTGTTTACAGCCTTGCTGCAATATCTACGAATTTCGGCTTGTTTAATAGTCGTCTTGTCTACTCTAAGTAGATTCACATTCCTATACTTTCCCACTGTATCCAATAGTCGTCTAGCATTTGATTTCAGCAAACCCTGATTTAGTCGCCTTATAAGACATGCTTTTAAAGGGGCAGTAGTTCTACCCACCCCAACCCCCTCCAAAAAAATGCATTCGTCCATGCCTTTTTTATACCTTCTTCTCTTCCACATGTGATACTTTCCTTCTTTAGTTTCCCTTGTCCTAAAGTACAATGCAATGAGACCGGATATAGTGCCTTGAACTCTTCTGGATTCAAAATATAGTCCATGGCGTGCTGGTCCACTGTGAAAACCCCACGTGATCAATATCACGCGGACTTTATTTCCCTAAACATTTCCCTGGTATCCATTTTTGACTGGGTCACCAGGTAAGCCAGCTTTGTTATTATTAATAATGATTATTATAATTATAATATATATTATTATCAGCTGCACCATTTGGTGGTTAGTTGAAGCATGTTAAGCTAGATGTTATAAGATCCCTTTGGGACTGAGTGAACCACGACCGGCTCCAACTGACAGGTCATGCTGCCAACGTCACCGGTCGGGCTAACGATGCAGCAGTTCTCAAACTGGGTGCCGAAGCACACTGGGGTGCCGTTAGCGTATGCTAGGGGAGCCGCGGAAATAATCAAGTAAAGTCGGCTAAAAATTGTGAAATTTTTAAAGAAGGAATGTAGATACTTGAAAGTTAAAAATCTAAGTTATCCTTCCTAGCCACGGTCGAAAATAGTTTATTTATTGTTTTAGAACCACCGCGTTAACGCATCTTTAGCCCGACCTGGTGACGTCAGCAGCACGGCCTGTCAACTAAAGCCGGTCTTGAGTGAACAGTGCGGAGGCACAAAAAGATCCTCACGGTCTGAGGAGAATGACACTGCGGGGAGTTACTGGCCGACGCTCAATACTCAAAGGAAAAGCGAGACGGATGTGCAATCGGACAGTTACTGGTGCCACTGGAATTGTAACTCTTCGCTTGCTGCTGAAGATGGGGACGGGACGCTTATGGGGTTGTCCCGAGTGCTTTGATGTCGATTCTCAATTCAACCTTTAACATTAAAGATTATTATTATTATTTGGTGTAACACTATGAGCAGGAGGATTTAAACAGATAACAAGAGACCGCTGGTGTCTGTGGTTTAGGCGCTTCTATTTGTAATCCCTAAGTACCAGGTTCAATTACAGCTGTGAGTTATTTGACAGCAGGCCACTTTGCGTTGATTACTATGCAGTTATGTCGGTTCAGATAGCAATGGCAATAGGACAAAACATGGAATAAAAAGACAACGGTTAAAACGAGCAATACAAAGAAAATGATAGATTCGTGTAAAACAAGACACTGTATTGGAACTCTGCGCTGGCTGCTAAAGATGAGCACGGAGCACGCAGGTGAATTCCCCGAGTGATGCGATGTCAATTCTTAACTGTTGGTTAGCTCAACCTTGTATGAAATATCTCAGACTATATTAGGGAATGGCAGCGCATGAATACGACGGATTAGACCAAGACAAGACAGTCCATGCAACAGACAGACTACAGGAACTTACATCGAGAGATTTGAGCATCACGCATCCTTCGATCAGTTTTTCATATCTTTTCCTCTTGTTAAATGCTGTTTTCAGCACTATCCGACGAAAGGTCTGTCTGTCCTGAAAACAACACCACATAATAATAATAATAATAATAATAATAATAATAATAATAATACATCATCACTACCACGTGAACGACTACAGCCGCCATAACCATCATTACCAACAACAGCACATAGATAGGATTTCAATGAAAGCCAAGCGGGGTCTGGTTGCGATGAGAGTGATGACGGCGGCAAACTGTGAGCAGCGTCATCTATGTCTTCTATACCAGGGTCTGGTCCTTTCTGTTTTTGAATACGCGATGGCGATCCTGACTCTCAGCCATAAGTAGATGGAAAGGATGGAAAGAGTACAGAACGAGGCTATGCGCCATTATACTTGGGTATACAAGAGATACAGCATGCTGAGCTATGCGCTACCTTCTCGATTTTCCGACCATGGAAGACAGAATACAAATTTCCCGAGCTCGTGCCTACCTTACAGTCAAGGCGGACACACATCATCCATTACATAGTCAAATCAAGATGATAAAAGGCTGCAGGTTAAAAAGAGGCAAATCGTGGATGGGTCAAGCCGAGGACATTATTTTACAGGTATGTTCACTTGAGGACATAGAACCCGGCGAGGAGTGGGTACAAGTGCCTTCAGAGTGCTGTACATCTTTTTCTGTTTGCATCCAACTAGACAGAAAATGCAGAAAACAGAGTCCGGCTGCTGTGGAAGCAGAAGTTCAAGCCTTGATTTTCGAGAATTTTGTTTAGCTAGTGAATGTTGCACCGCTATGTATGCAGCAAGAAGACAATGGTAAACATCAGTTTTGTTTCAAACTGGGGGGAAATTGCTGTTGGACATTTGAATTGATGAGGATCACTGTTCATCGAATTCAACGCCATATTTATCTGTCGAATAAGACACTAGAACATAAAATTATCTGTGAAATGCACTGTCTCCGTGAGGTCACTAAAAACCCAAGAAGGCACAATAGTTACGATTACCAGCATTAGAGAGAAAGTTGGAATAAGACCGTGTCTGTACTGACAGAAGAATTATGACATGGCTCGGCCGTCTAGTAAAAATGCAGCCAAAACTAAAATGCATATGAGATTTACAGCAGAATATTTGGGAGGAAGGCGAGAGAACGACCAGGAAACAGATGGATTTTTTTAAAAATATCTTGAAGCCATGAGTTGTTAACCCTTTGGCTCGGTACTATGGATATCACAACCCGTCGGCCTTAATTCAATGACAGATACCGTAAATCTGGGAGAAATGTGGCTTTTTTGCCTACCCCGGGCGTGAACCCGGACCACAAGGAGTTCGTCGCCTGGTCGCCGCAAAGTCAGGTTTAATCAACTACGTTAGCGAGCCGGACAAACAGATGAATAGATGGTGTAGGTGAAACTTGCAAAAAGATGAACAAATCCATCACCCAAGCCACCCGAGAAGCACAAGACAAATAAAATCACAACACTGGACTACAACCTGAAGACAACAAAATACACCAGTCAGCATCCTCACAGTCAGATATCAGTCTTCGCGCATTTCGTATCTGACTTTGGCAATGAACTTGTCATTACGAATAGAAACTTATATTCTTTGCCACGCCAGTTTTGAGTCTTGAGTACCACGTTATGCACGAGACAAACATTGATCTTGACATACTTGTCTTTCTTTGTGTCGTCGAGTCTACTCTGATCTACATGCATACATCCACACACACATCCATAAAACACATATAAGCGTATCTTTATCCACGCGCGCGCACACACACACAAGCAACCATACATCCATGTTTATCTGTATATTCAAACATTTTCACAAAATCTCTAAATGGTTAGTTGAATTTCAATGATTCGCATGAGCCATTCTTTCACACCTAAACTTAATGCTGAAATGATGGAACTGTTAGTTAGCTCAAAGCCACAGAGGCGTCCAAAATCAAAGTTTCCACAATCGATAAACAGCCCGAGAGTCTCAGATGTTGAATTACTTGATTCTTAGGAATGTAATAAACCTTGAAATATTGCCTATATGATTGTTTATAGCATCGACTATTTAGCAATCATTTGATTGTTGCCTTTGTATTTAATAAAAAGTAAAAGTAAAGTAAAGGACCCTTTCCCACGCCTTTAGGCGTATAGGGCATATAGGGCTAGACCTATATTTTTATAGACCAAGCGGCACAGGATGGGTGATGTGGTCAGCATCACGCCGGTCGCCTTTACTTCCCGGGACTGCACCTGGTACCCACTCAAGGCTGGGTCGACCTGGGAGCCAAGGTCATTTTTTATTTAATAAAACTGTCTAATTTTCTAACCAAGATTGTGTTCTTCTTCTTCTTCTTCTTCTTCTTTTTTTTCTGACACTGTACTGAAGCTGTTTACTTGATGGCAAGACACTTCATAACTGATTTTTTTTTTTTTTTTAATGAATGATTCTTCTTCTTCTCATTCCCATCGTTGTCCTCACGTTTTAAAAACTTTTTATTTATTGTCGCTTGTCATTTTTGCCTTTCCTCTTCTTCGTTGTCTTCATGTCTGTCGGCTTCTTTCGTGTCTTCTTTAGTGACTTGAATAAAAATGAACAAACTGTTGCTTCATCTGTTGCTGCTACTTCTGTTACTGATCCTTTTTCCTTATATTATTCCTTCTTTCTTTCTTTCTTCAACTCCCCCTCCCAACCACTTATCCCCTCTTTCTTCCTCCTACTCCTACTCTTCTTTTTCTTCTTCTTCTCCTCCTTCTTCTTCATTGTCGTCTTCTTCTTTTGTTCTTCTTCTTCTTCTTCTTCTTTCTCTTGCTTTCAGCACCCAATAAAACAAATCCTTGTTAATCCCCTCCTTTGACACACATTATTCTTCCCTAAAAGACCTGGTAAAACGTGGGCAATCTCATTATCTTGATGTATTTTCTGTGAGCTATTCTGTATGGAATTAGTGATTATATGATTCCGAAAGATAGAAAGGCAAAAAATGATGATGAATTTCACAGCTGTGGCAATGAAGCGGTCAGTGACAATAAGAAGATCGACAACAAAGACCAAACAGATTAGGGAGATATGACAAAAGGGATATTTATACGATGGTCTCCCCATTTACACATCACCGGTTGCTGGTCTACTCCATTGATAAGTTGGTTGAACTAGTCTACCCTGGTCGAGGTTATGGGTATCGCAGTCTGTTGTTGTCTTGCATTTACGTTTTTATTTCCGAGAAAAAGACGGCCTGTGACATAGGTTTTACAGTCTCTATGGGAAGTTATGCGTTAGACCCAGAAACTAAATGTTTTAGAGTGTTAAAAGCTTTGGCATGGTGAAATATACAACACGCGGTATCAGCGCCAGTGCAGAATATCCCTGTGACCTTGTGTGAAAGTCGGATCGCTCGAGGCCGACCTATCAGGGGTGAGGAGATCAACAAGTCGTCCAATCAGAAGCGAGCTAGTGTGTAGCGGTGTACACACCGGGAAGACCAGCGTAAAATTTACCGACAAAAGAGTTCACTGTGTAATTATTGTTTGTTTGCTTGTTAGGGTGCAGTCTGTAGGATTAAAATTAGAAGGATTAGTGTCAAACAAGTACCCGGTTCAACTGGATAGCCCTACAAAACAGTTATAATAGAGTTGGAAGGGAAAAGGGGGGGGGGGGGGGGGGAGACAAACAAATTACGAAGCAATTTATAGTCTTGTGTGGGTGGGTCCTGAAGAGTTCAGTTGAGTCAAGAACCAAATCAGCACTCAGGACATTTCCATAAGAGTTAAGTCCCCCACGCCTTCATCAGCTCGAGAAGAGTTTCAATATCAATGGTACCAAATTCAATCTATTGCACGCCTGTCGTGACTCTCCGCTAAGTATTTAGTGTCTGCCAGAGCCTCTGGTCTTGTCCCCTTGCTCTAAACTCTCTCCTGACCATGATGATCTACTCGTTCCCTCGCACTGCTCTTTTTGTCCCAGTCAGGGTTGAACATATATGTCTGTCATGCATGAGTTCCCAAGATAATGCGGTGGCTACACGCTTGCTTTCTGAAAGGAAACTCTTGGGTTTGAAGGTGCGTCAAGTTTGGAACTTGCCATAGTTCGTTCAGTAAGAAAAGAAATAAAAGTCGACCATGCTCAGCCCTGCTACAGAGAGCGTAGGTTATAATTATGGCCTGGTTTTGTTTATGCAACGTTTAGCTGACATGGCACATGATGTTGATGAACGTTCAGTGAATGGTTGAAACGGTTTCCTGTGCCAGCAGCGGTAGCCTAATCCTAATGTCTCTAACTGTGTGAGAGGTCATTTCTGAACATGTCCAGGTCATCCTTGTTGGTCCTGTGTTCCCGATGGGAGTTTCATCAGGGTATGTCTAGACTCTCGGCCGTGCTCCCCTGTGTCTTAGACATGGCTGTTGTTGATGACTAGGTTGTTCTACTTGCATCTTGGTTGGTGATATTTGTCCTAGGGTATGATGCCCTGTCCTTTGTCCTTAAGGTCCCTGTCCTTGTTGTTTTTAACCACCTACTCCTTATGAGAGGCGCCGTGGTGTGGCGACTATACGCTCGCCTGCGGATCAGAAGATCGTGGATTCGGGTCCTGACAATTCCGGACCTTTCAAACATGACCTCGGCTTCAGGTCGACCCAGCCTTGAGTTGGTACTAAGTACAGTCCCGGGAAGTAAAGGCGGCCGGTGTGATGTTGACGACACCACCGAACGAGTAGTCTACAAAATATAGGTACTGGACCTTGGTCTTCTCCCAGAACTTGAGTCTTACGTACACACAAGTTTTAAATATCTGCCTTATTTAACAGTAGACCGCTAGCTCGTTCCCTCTTATGCTGGTGCACTCCGACTTCGAAGGAAACACGCAAAAACAGTCAAAGTGCAATGTCAGAAAGAAAAATGGCGAACAAAGATAAAGAAATAAGTGAAATGTCAGACTGCAAAACTGGTGAAGAAAGATGAAGAAATAAGTGCAATGTCAGATAGAAAAACTGGTAAAGAAAGACGAAGAAATAAGTGAAATGTCAGATAGAGAAACTGGTGAAGAAAGACGAAGAAATAAGTGAAATGTCAGATAGAAAAACTGGTGAAGAAAGACGAAGAAATAAGTGAAATGTCAGATAGAAAAACTGGTGAAGAAAGACGAAGAAATAAGTGAAATGTCAGATAGAAAAACTGGTGAAGAAAGACGAAGAAATAAGTGAAATGTCAGATAGAAAAACTGGTGAAGAAAGACGAAGAAATAAGTGAAATGTCAGATAGAAAAACTGGTGAAGAAAGATGACGAAATAAGGGAAATGCCAGACTGAAAACTGATGAAGAAAGGCGAAGACATAAGTGAAATGTCAGATAGACAAACTTGTGAAGAAAGACTAAGATATAAGTAAAATGTCAGATGGAAAACGTGAAAAAGACGAAAAATTAAGTGAAATTTTAGATTAAAAAAATAAATAAATAAACTGGTGAAGAAAGACGAAGAAATAAGTGAAATGTCTAAACTAACTAACGCTTATATAAACAGTCATCAAAAACCTAAGATGGCAGTATCACATTGTCAGGAGAAATGGTCATAGAATCACCAGATGATGAAAGGAGAACGTACAAGAGACAACATAACGTTAACCCTGCAGAGATATGACAGGGGAGTGTTGAGTTTTGAGCTCAGAACAGACATCACAGCATTTGAGGCATCCCCATAAGCGCTTCGTCCTCATCTTCAACAGCCAGAACAATATTTCAGTTCACATGGTGCCAGTAGCAGTCTGATTAAATGCCCGTCCTGTTTATCCTCTGAGTGCAGAGTGTCGACCAGATCCCATGTCACTCCCAGCTGTACCCTGCAGAGTGTCGACCAGATCCCCTGTCACTCCCAGCTGTCCCTTTCTCTCCTCTGAGTGCAGAGTGTCGACCAGATCCCCTGTCACTCCCAGCTGTCCCCTTCTCTCCTCTGTGTGCAGAGTGTCGACCAGATCCCCTGTCACTCCCAGCTGTCCCCTTCTCTCCAGTGAGTGCAGAGTGTCGACAAGATCCCCTGTCACTCCCAGCTGTCCCCTTCTCTCCTCTGTGTGCAGAGTGTCGACCAGATCCCCTGTCACTCCCAGCTGTACCCTTCTCTCCAGTGAGTGCAGAGTGTCGACAAGATCCCCTGTCACTCCCAGCTGTCCCCTTCTCTCCTCTGAGTGCAGAGTGTCGACAAGATCCCCTGTCACTCCCAGCTGTAACCTTCTCTCCTCTGAGTGCAAAGTGTCGACCAGATCCTCTGTCACTCCCAGCTGTACCCTGCTCTCCAGACAATAATGATCCATTCATGCCCCCGCACTGCTCAGCTGCTCCCAAAGGGCCTTGACCGCATCCAGCTTGTTCCCACCAGTTGGTGCATAACCGGGCAGTCTGACGGGGGTAACTGGACTGAATTCCCTCTATGGTATCGAACTGATTCGAGTTCTTCTTTATGGAGTAGAATGCCGAAGAATGACCAAAAATGATACGCACAAGCTATCCCCCTTCAAATCAAGAAATTCTAGAAAGTATGATAACCAAGAGAAGTTGGAAGTAGCTTGGATACGTTATGAAAATGAATCATCATATACCTGCTAAAACAGCTCTCACGGACACCAGAGGGAAAGAGAAAGAAGGGGCGCCCAAAAACAACATGCAGACGAACGATGGAAAGTAAATTGAGTGCTGCATCCCTGTCATGGAAATATTGAAGTTGCACAGGACAGGAACGCATGGACAGTCCTTTCTGAAGCCTTATGTTTCACTAGGCATAAAGAGAACTGATTGATGATTGATATCGAACTGATTGGACAGGACATAACATAATGGAAAAACTAGACGAGCGAGTCCTATACGATGTATAAAAGCACACTATGATGCTTCTGAATTCAATGCTGCTGAACTAGCTGGGCTATCTGGCTTTTCTTTCCTCAATACACCAGCATATCCTAGAGAAAAGACTCAAAAGAGATGCTTGGCAACAGAAGCAGCCAGTACTTACCAGAGCCCAGATAGTGCCGTCGGTGGCTGCAATGATCGTTGCCGCCCTGGGCATGTTGTACATCAGAGCCAACTCGCCAAAGAAGCCCTCGTTCTGGTACGATCCCACCAGCTGCTTCTTCTTATTGGTCTCCACGAAGATGTCAAACTTGCCGCTGTGGACAAACAGGTCAACATTAGATTTAGATGTAGAATTCACACACAGGTCAACATTAGATTTAGATGTAGAATTCACACAGAGGTCAACATTAGATTTAGATGTAGAATTCACACACAGGTCAACATTAGATTTAGATGGAGAATTCACACACAGGTCAACATTAGATTTAGATGTAGAATTCACACACAGGTCAACATTAGATTTAGATGTAGAATTCACACAGAGGTCATCATTAGATTTAGATGTAGAATTCACACACAGGTCAACATTAGATTTAGATGTAGAATTCACACACAGGTCAACATTATATTTAGATGTAGAATTCACACACAGGTCAACATTAGATTTAGATGTAGAATTCACGCACAGGTCAACATTAGATTTAGATGTAGAATTCACACAGAGGTCAATATTATATTTAGATGTAGAATTCACACAGAGGTTAATATATTTCGGTGTAGAATTCACAGAGGTCAATATTATATTTAGGTGTAAAGTTCACACAGAGGTCAATATTATATTTAGGTGTAGAATTCATACAGGTCAACATCAGATTTAGATGTAGAATTCACACACAGGTCAACATTAGATTTAGATGTAGAATTCACTGAGGTCAACATTAGATTTAGATGTAGAATTCACACACAGGTCATCATTAGATTTAGATGTAGAATTCACACACAGGTCAACATTAGATTTAGATGGAGAATTCACACACAGGTCAACATTAGATTTAGATGTAGAATTCACACACAGGTCAACATTAGATTTAGATGTAGAATTCACACAGAGGTCATCATTAGATTTAGATGTAGAATTCACACACAGGTCAACATTAGATTTAGATGTAGAATTCACACACAGGTCAACATTATATTTAGATGTAGAATTCACACACAGGTCAACATTAGATTTAGATGTAGAATTCACGCACAGGTCAACATTAGATTTTAGATGTATGGAATTCACACAGAGGTCAATATTATATTTAGATGTAGAATTCACACAGAGGTTAATATATTTCGGTGTAGAATTCACAGAGGTCAATATTATATTTAGGTGTAAAGTTCACACAGAGGTCAATATTATATTTAGGTGTAGAATTCATACAGGTCAACATCAGATTTAGATGTAGAATTCACACACAGGTCAACATTAGATTTAGATGTAGAATTCACTGAGGTCAACATTAGATTTAGATGTAGAATTCACACACAGGTCATCATTAGATTTAGATGTAGAATTCACACAGAGGTCAATATTATATTTAGATGTAAAATTCACACAGAGGTTATTATATTTCGGTGTTGAATTCACAGAGGTCAATATTATATTTAGGTGTAAAGTTCACACAGAGGTCAAAATTATATTTAGGTGTAGAATTCATACAGGTCAATATTATATTTAGATGTAGAATTCACACAGAGGTCAATATTATATATTTAAAACAAAAATTATGTGCGGTCTCCAAAATGAAAGTTGGCTATAACCACTATTGTCTTTTGAAATATTGCCCTAAGTGAGGCCCCAATCTCTTCCACGATGCGACTCTCGTACCACTGTTTCCAAACCACGAGAACGCCCACTCCCTCTCCACGTCCACCGCTGTGAACTAGGCTCAGTACTTCTAGATCATGAAATGCCCTGCATTTGCTAGCCTTCAAGTCAGTGGCTCTCAACCTTTCTAATGCAGTTTCTAATGTTGTGGCGACTCTTTAGTACAGTTTTTTTTCCTGTTGTGGCGAACCTTTAATAGTTTCTCCTGTTGTGGCGACCCTTTAATACAGTTTCTAATGTTGTGGCGACCCTTTAATTCAGTTTCTCCTGTTGTGGCGACCCTTTTACAGTTTCTCCTGTTGTGGCGACGCTTTAATACAGTTTTTCCTATTGTGGCGACCCTTTAATACAGTTTCTCCTATTGTGGCGACCCTTTAATACAGTTTCTCCTGTTGTGGCGACCCTTTAATACAGTTTCTCCTATTGTGGCGACCCTTTAATACAGTTTCTCCTGTTGTGGCGACCCTTTAATACATTTTCTCCTATTGTGGCGACCCTTTAATACAGTTTCTCCTGTTGTGGCGACCCTTTAATACAGTTTCTCCTGTTGTGGCGACCCTTTAATACATTTTCTCCTATTGTGGCGACCCTTTAATACAGTTTCTCCTGTTGTGGCGACCCTTTAATACAGTTTCTCCTGTTGTGGCGACCCCCAACCATACGGTTTTTGCGTTGCTGCATCATAATTTTAATGCATTATGTTTTGCGATGGTCTTTGGCGACCTCTGTGAAATGGTCCTAAAAAGAAGGTCGCGAACCACAGGCTGAGGATCGCTGCTTTATGCGCGCGCACGCACGCATGCACGCGCACACACACACACACACACACCACACACACACACAAGGTCCGACAATTAAGTAATGAGACTAATTCCATAAAAATTAAAATATTCAACAGTTGAAGATATAACCTGTATCTGATTCAATGTAAGCCCCTTGTGCATTGATACAGCAAGTGGCACGATCTAACAAACACTGGAACGACCTCTGTAGTTTTTTGTTGTTATGCCCATTAAAATCGATGTTACGGCCATTTGGATGTCATCAGTATCGTTAAAGAAGCGTCCTTTCAATTGCAACTTTAATTTTGGGAATATAAAATAATCACAGGGAGACAAGTCTTGGGAATAGGGTGGAAGGCTGAGAACACACACTTGTTTTTGGGCCAAACATTTTTGTTTTGATGATTTCTCTTCGGTACACAACCCGCTGATGTTTTTGGTCACCAGACAACGAATGTGGTACAAACCGGCAAGCAACTTTTTTGGGTGCCAAAATCTTGAACTATAATGTTAAGAATTGTCTCTCTATTAACACCAGATTTATCTGCCATCATCCTCAAAGTAAAACAATGATCTTTTTATATGCGTTCTCTGAATTTTGCAATGAGTTCATCATTATGAACATAAATTTGGAGTCCAAATCTAGGTGCATTAGTAATCATTTCCACGCCACTTTTGAATCGTGAATACCACCTGAAATTGTGTGCACGAGATAAACAATTATCCTCACAAACATGTTGCATTAATTCAACTGTTTCAATCGCGCTTTTTCTGAGTTTCGAAAAGAATTTAATGTTAGCTTTTTGCTCTGTGATGATTTCGTACAACGCACCTCTGACTGGGTCAACAAAATGGCGGTTTATTTGTTGTCTGCTTATCCAGCGGCGATGAAAAGTTGCATGATCATAGATTAATGTTGCCTCTTTAGATTCCATGCTTTGCTTCATAGATGAATTTTTTTGTCTTGGCCATAATAAAATCAGTTTCATTACATTATTGTCTGACCTTGTACACACACAAGTAACGAACTGAAACCAATTTAAAAAAAAAAAAAAAAAAAAAAACATTTTTTACTATTCGAATTGTTAGAAATATTGTCAGGTTGCTTTTATATATGTATATGCATAAATGTTTATACATATATTAACTGGCTTCAATTCCTTACTCCTCTGAGCATCTTTCTCTCTTTCCTCTCCTCGTCCCTCTTCTCTCTCTTTCTCACCAGTCACTTTAACAATGCACCCGTTATCTCTGATACTCTCTCTCTCTCTCATCTATGTATACACACAAACACACACACACACACACACACACACATACATACATACATACATACACACACACACACACACACACACACACACACACACACACACACACACACACACACACACACACACACACACACACACACACATACATACATACATACATACATACATACATACATACATACATACATACATACATACATACATACATACATACATACATACATACATACATACATACATCCATACATCCATGCATCCATGCATCCATGCATGCATGCATCCATCCATGCATCCATCCATGCATCCATGCATGCATCCATCCATGCATCCATGCATCCATCCATGCATCCATCCATCCATCCATGCATGCATCCACCCACCCCCCCCCCCCCCACACACACACACAGATATATATATATATATATATATATATATATATATATATAATATATATATATATATATATATATATATATATATATATATACAAATTTAAATGTATATAGTCTTTTTCAAATTGGTTTCAATTCGTTACTTGAAATTCTAAGCATCTCTCTCTCTCTCTCTCTCTCTCTCAACAATGCAACCGTTGACTGTGATACTCTTTCTCTCCCTCTGTCTCTCTATCTCTCTCTCTCTCAAACACACATTCGTGTTATGTATATTGTCTTATGAACATTACATGCTTAACAGATAAAATTCAACTGTTTTTCGAAAGAATAGTTATGAAAAGCTGAATGTAAGAAGGGCCCGCGTGCCCAATCCGCGACCATTTAAAAATGCAGTTTTTTCGTTAATTCTTTCTCTGTCAAAACGACTGTTCACTAGATCGTGATCTCTTTATTAACCTCAAATTTGCTTTTTAGAACCATCTGTTGTATTGCTACTCCTCGCGGTTGTCTTTATCACTCTAAAGTTTTTCTAGTTTTATCTGATCTCATTAACTCTCTCTCTCACTCTCTCTCTCTCTCTCTCTCTCTCTCTCTCTCTCTCTCTCTCTCTCTCTATCTATCTATCTATCTATCTCTATCTCCATCTTTCTCTCTTACATACACCCTTTTCAATAATGTCACTATTTATTTATTAACTTTTTACAGTCACAGTCATCTCTCTTTCTCTTGTTTTCCTCCATCTATTTACAAATCTAATATTATTTATCCTAATTCGTTTCTCTCTCGCTCATCCCCCCCCCCTCTCCATCTCTCTCTTAGATATATCTCCTTTCTCATTACCTCAACAAATCTTAACTTGACTATCACTTCAACCTCCAGCGACCCCACTTCGGCAATCTTGACATCCCTCAACCAGCTAGTATTATCACACTAGAGCAGACAATCAGGCTCTAATGAACACAACAACTGCCATTTCTCACAATGCACCCG